ATTGAAGCCTTGACAATTCGTGCCAAGTTCCTGCCCTGAGCCAGTGCCTCACTGGGGCAAGGTTGAATGTCCCCTGGCCGGATAAGAGAACAGCGTTTCAGTCCAAGTTTCCTGGAGAATATTTTTGAAGCTTCCCAGGAGCGCATATCTCCCCCCAGCCACAGTGTGACTTTCTTGAATTGCTCCAGATAAGGCAGGAGGATCGGAGGCAGACAGCTTACACCCCGTGGCAAGGCAAAAGATGGAAGACCGGTAGCCTGATTCACCGCCATGCTGTCTACCTCACGTCCCGTGAGCACAACCTCACTGTCCTTCCGTCCTATCAAAGGCAGGCCGAAGAGGTTGTGGTAGCTGGAGATTTTTGGAACCGTCGCTTCGGTGTAGACCACGCGTCCATCAGCTTTCATGGCAGCAGAAAGCAATTTAACACCCCGGAGACACGAGTCACGTCCACTAAACCAGGGGAACACCAAACACTTGGTGGGCTTGAAGAACCGGACACCAAATTTCTTCAGTGTGGCGTTGGTGAGTTTACCAATCTGAAACATGGTTTTAATGAGCTGCACTTCCTCATCCAGGAGGTCGGAAAACGGCATAGAGCTGCTCCATATTCTTTGCACCTCCTTCATCTCCATCTCTCTTTCTTCTTGCTCCTCCATGCTCTCAGGAAACCCCAGCAGCACGTCAGGGCTGATGGAGGTCTGACTTTCATTCAACATCACCTCAATGCAATCCTGGAGGTCCTCCCAGCTCCCCTCCACTAAAGTCTCCTTACACAGAAACTGTCCCGTGGTTTTATCGATGAACAGTGAGTAATTCTCTTTTCCAGACCCTTCAGGTCCTGGTTGCATAAAAATACTAGGTGCATGTAAGCAGCTGTAGCCATCATGGAAATGGATATCTTTGGAACGAAGATACTGCTTGATATCAGTCACTGTGAGGTGCTGGGCAGGGAAATCAATGATTGACTTTGCATCTTTTCTTAATGTTCTGAAGAAATATAATGCAACAGCAGGTCTAAAATGGTTTTCAAAACAATACCAAGTTGGTGCTCTAAAACAACGCTGTAGGACTGGATTGAGGCAGGGCTGGTAAAATGATAGATATCTCCAGGGTGGAAGATGAGAGGGTTTACAAGGAATACAGCCCGTCCCCTGCAAGAGACAGCCTGCCCCCCTGAGAAACCTGCTCCTCCACATTTAACTGTTAATTCAGGACATCAGACCTGCAATGATCACAGAAAATTTGCACAATAACAATATGCAGTTTAAAAATGTGACTGAAACTGAACTTGTCATAAACATGGGTCATTTGTGTTATGATTTATCTTTTGAACTTTTAAAAGTCAATATACTTGAGTTGTAAGTTAAGTTCATAAAACCTACCATATCATATTTGTTTCAAATTTCTAAGGCCTCGAAACTATCAACATGATCAAAACTTTGCAGAAAACCTGGGCTGCGTTCAGCCCCGACAAAAACGGTGCAAAACGTTTTTTAAACGGAAACGGTGGTGCGTTGAACACTGTTCTGCTGACGCAAGAGTAGCAACTATGGCAGCTGAGAAGGCCATTCTTTGTGTTCTTTTTGAAGACTTTTCAGAGCCTGATGAAATCGTTATAAATACGTGTTTAATACCGATGTTAAATACATTGTGCAAGCTGTCTCTTTAATACCGCGTGGTTTACATGCTGCTGCTGATTGGGCTGACATGTTTGACACACCCACCAAACAAGAGAAAACACATCTCAAACCCTGTTGCACACCGTTTCCAGGAAACATGTCGTTCAAGCCGGAAACCGTAGCAAAACGGTGCACACTGGTTTGAGCTTGAACTTGCCCCTGTTGTTACACGCCTTCTGTTGTCTGATTGATAGTTTATACTTTTTATCAAGTAAAAGTATCATTCTAAAAATGTTCCCCTTCAGGTCATGGTACCCATGTCATGATCTTTACTGCAAAAATAAGCATAGCTTTTATATTGTTAGTAATATTTCAGGATGAACACTTGGACAGAAGCAACTTTAGTTGCTTCTTGATTATAAATAATCATTTTTTAGAAAAAGCATGTTAAAATGTATTGAATATAATAAATCTGGCTTTTGAAGAACATTTATTTGTACATCTCTGAATCATCATTGTATTTCATTGCAATATATGCTTTGACGACAACAAAATGGCAACATCTACTCAAAACCAAAGTAATTAAATTATTTACCTGTTACATTTTCTGTGATATTATGTTTAAAAAATATGATTTCAATATTTAAAAATGTAAATTACAATATATTACTATATTTATGATGGGAACATGAAAATGTAGGCTACTGCATAACAGAAATTACTTACCTATCATTAATAGCATCATCAAGCATTAATAGATTATATAATGTATAACAGGTCATTAGTAGATCAAATAGTTGCAAATGTCATTTATATATTTTCATATAAGAATGTACATGAACTACTGATGTATTATAATGCTTGCTACAGATTCATTAATGAAAGTTATTATAAAGCGTCACCAGAAAAATAACTATATTGTCTATGCATGACCCTTAACATTATTACTCAACTATAAATGTACGTGTATTTATACAATTAATGAAACTACTGAAGAGAAACTGTGGCAAAAAAAACATGTATAAGAAACAAACATACCGTAAACATTTGAAATTACATATTGTACACTTACTATTCTGTAAGAAGCGCGCCAAACTGTTATCATGTGTCTGCAAGTCCTACTGAACATGAGGTCCGCACTCCAAAATACTTCCGTGTGAAACACGAAACTCTTGTCATGACAAAGATAATTAGACTGCGTAGCCTCAAATCACAATAAGCATATCTTCATAAATAATTACGGTGCATCATTTTCAAATTTCCTGTAATGAAATCAAGGATAACTTTCTGATTGCTACAAAACTCTATTACATGCGCAGCTTTTATTTCCACCCGGACGACAATTTGTAACGTACATGACATTACACATGTCTTCTGACGGCTGTCCTCTACATCAAATCAATCAAAGTGCGTGATATTACTCGAACCAATTCTGACAGCAATCAAAGAGTGATTTGAACTGAATGTAGGATCTCTGAAGAGGTGGCCATGACTGCTCGAGGAACACCGAGTCGTTTTTTACAGAGCGTTCTTCACAATGGAGTGGGTCGCTATGTTTGTCAGCTGAAGCGAATATCTCTGATCTTCTCAAAGAAAGGCCAGGGCTCTTTAGGAGTCAGGTATGGGTTTACATCAACTGTGTCGATCATGTATAATAATAAAACACTTTACTTTAAAAACCCATAGAACATTTACTTTGTATGGAGACCCAGCAATTATTATTAGTTGTATTATGTTAGTATGCCCGATATAATGTAATGTAACATAGTAGATTATATAATAAGCAATATTTAAATTGTAAACATAAATTGTCTGGGTTATGATAGAAAATATGAGAATTTTATTTCAATGTATTATTTTTAAAACTACTGTTTTTTTAAAGAAAAAATGTAAAACCCTTTAGTTTTGCTGGAGTTTAGGATGATACTTAATACAGTTTATGTTACAAATAGTGTGGGGTAGTTTGAGTACCATGTTTCAGTGAGATCATTTGACATTATGCATTATTTGTGTTTCGTTGTAAAGCACATAATTCTAATGATATATATTCCTCCAGGGATTTCATTGAAGAAGGTGTGGTCGACTTTGCCAAGAATAACCCAGGAACTGTGGTTTACATCTCCCCTCAGTCCTGCAGAATTCCAAAAATAGTAGCTGAATATTGTAAGTCTGACCTTGTCGTTTCCTGCAGTATTTACTAAGTGTTTACAATTTGAAGTTATAAAATGTATAGAATACCTGTGCACTCACTTGTCGTTATTTGATCTATGCAGTGAATGGTAATGTGAAGGAGGAGACGGTCACCAATAAAACATCACAGGAAATTGTAGAACTTATAACCAAGCTGTCCAACCAGTCAGGACTGGACATCATCCGCATTCGTAAACCCTTCCACACAGACAGTCCTAGTATCCAGGGCCAGTGGCACCCCTTCACAAATCGACCCCCCAGCATCGATCCAGTCGGCCCACAGCAAAATAAGGACTTTGCATAGTATTTATTCTCTGACTGATGTTCTGACCTATTGGAGGAGCTCTGAACTTCTGCCACAGCACACAATCAACACAAATTCAACATGTTTTCAGCAGTTACCTGTTATTAGACTTTTAAAATGACACTTTTCGGTTTGATTATGACAGATTATTGGTGGCTTGATAAAGTTTATATAACAATGAAATTGTGCTTAAATAAGATTCATTGCTTTTCACCCATCCACTGAGAAATATAAGGTTTCCTTTGGGAAATAAAGTTTTGAACTGAAAATATGACTATGTGCTTATATCACTCACTTGTTTTGATGTTATTACCAAAACACCCCTGCACTAATAACTCCTAATATCTCAGAAAGCTACTCCTGACAGAATAAATTTGAACTTCGCCAGTAATAAGTCAAGGGATTCTAATAGTTACTATAGTACCGTTATTATACTAAACTACAACTCTTGAAAAAATGACTGTGGTGCAAGATTGTTAATTGAAATAAAACTTTTTTTTTTTCACTGAAATTAAATAAAAAAATGCTTTTACTTTTTTTTCAGGGCAACATTTCTCATTTTAGTTTTTATGTACTAAAAACAACTGAAATAAAAATAAAAAAAAAATCTTGAATACCAAATCAGCATATCAGAATGATTTCTGAAGGATCATGTGACACTGAAGACTGGGGTAATGGCTGCAGAAAATTCAGCTTTGCCATCACAGGAATAAAATACATTTTAGAAAACAGTTATTTGAAATGGTTATAGTATTTCACAATATTGCTGTTTTTGTATTTTACATCAAATAAATGCAGCCTTGGTGAGCATAAGAAGAAACTTCTTTCAAAAACATTGACCCCAAACATTTGAACTGTAGTGCGTCAGATTTGTAAAAAACTAATTTAATTAAATTACAATAATAAACTGACAGCCCTGATAGAAATACATTTATGCCTGAGGTTTAAAAGTCAATTAACCAGGTGCATTGTCATGCGTTCAAAATGCAGAAAATAAACTAAATGCAAACTCATCAAACTTCAAACGTCCTGGCATTTTGGCTTTTACTTCCGTTTGTGAGCATCTCATTTGACAGGGAAATCTTGCATCAGAGAGAGTGTTTCTTCCATTTTGAGATCTATTCACTCCTTCTGACATCCCTAACTCTGAAAATGACCACCTCTGTATCTGTATAGATGTCAATGATGCATGTGCTAACACTCGCTGCTCCTGTAATCTGACTCCAATCTAGTGTGAAACTGTGTAAAATGCCCAAATCTCAAGAACATGTGCTCTCACATTCATGAAATGTTGCCAACAGGCTCAAAACCCAAACTCTTTTTGAATTATTAATGAACTAGCAAAGAAGTTTTGAAAATGCTCTGACTATTAGTACTTTGATAATAAAATGATTGTTATTTAAATCAGGTGCAATTAGGCAAAAACAAAAAATCTGTAAACGTCTGCATTTGAGCAATAATATCACATTGATTTTGTACAAATGTGCATTTCTTTGCTGAGAAAGTCTTTGGACAGTGTTCTTAAGTCTCTTACTTCTCCTTTAAAACAAAACAATATAACCAAATTGAGTCTTGCGTGTTCTTGACTGAATATCATCTTGTGATTTTTACACTTCGAGGTCCACAGTCTAGGTGTCTTTAGCTACATTTGATGTCTATTCAATTCAAAGTAAATTCGGCCAAACTCAGAAATATTTTCAAGAATATATTTTCATGAGATGATTCTCAAAGTTCTCAAAGAGAAACCATGAAGAACTTCAAAAGACATGTTTCTTTTGGCTCTTATACAAAATGTAAGCCTCCATACCACAAGGGTGCGATATAGTAGTGATGCGAGATCGTGCTACACTGAGCTCTCATCTGGCTGGATGTCCAACTGTGTGTGTTTCCTCTTTTCTAGAATCCTGTTGAGCTCCTCGGTGAAGGAGTGGTAAAGCGGAGACATAATTTCCGTGTCCGTCTGGCTCAGGAGCACATAGCTATTCCTGTTCATCTTTCTTAGCACACTGGGCAATGTGGCCGACAGTCCGTTGGCATACTCCGATGCAGGCAGGGGCGGAGGCAGAGGAAGTGGCGGCGCAGGCGGAGGTTCCTTGCTAGGCGTGGTCTGGATGTCCGCTGGAACGATCTGTAGAAACTCTCCGTCTCTTGACATCGCTCTGCTACGCCCCTCCGTTCTGCCATTGCAGTGACTGGAGATGGTTTTAAGCTCAAAGAGCGAGCTCCTCTTTCTTTCGGCTGCCGTGGTTACAGACAGAGCTTGCTGGGAGTACTTTCTGGCATTGGGAGAGTTGCGTGCACAGAAGCTAACGTACAGGAGGACCACCATTAGAACCAGACAAAGCCCGCCAAGAACAGCCACCAGAGAGATATACATAGCCTCCATGTGCCTGTAGTTTTGGAACTCTGGTCTAGAAGGCAACAGGCCCGGTGGGGGCGACAGAAGCTGCTCGACAGGACCGCTGGAAGGACTCGGAGTTGGTGCGGTTGTGGTGGTGAAGAAACTTTCAGGTAAAGCCGTTGGGCTTCCCGAGAGATGTGATGCAGGAGGTGGAACAGGTTGGACCCGTACCACGTAGCTGCGAACGGGAACCCAGACACCGTTCTCTACTGCGTAACAGCGGTAGTGTCCACTTTGCTGGTTCTGAGTTCCAATGATGAGGAGGCCATCAGTGCCGGTGCGGTAGCCGAAGTCTACGCCGTAACCTTGCAGCTGCTGACCGTTCAGCGTCCAGTGAGGGGTGGCCAGGTTAGAACGAATCTCACACTGTAACAGAACATCATCTCCTGCCATCACTGCACGTGTCCGGTGCATGACAAAACCTGGCAAAATGTGAGACATTATTAGTCTACACTTAAAAGTCACCTGACTAGGCTGCTCAGAAATTATTCACATGCAAACACACCATCACTTGTAATATTAGTACAGCCTCTGCTTCCCATCTGGATGTCCTGGACGAGACTGTATCTACAAGACACAGAGTTGCACTTATTAATGCCATTAATCGAAGCATGCAGAACATACTGTGAATTTATTTTGGACACTGGGCCTGAAAATTAACACCAAGAGACCAATAAAAGTAAAAATTGGCTTTAGCAAGAAAATAAGTCACTTTACTCACCAGCTGGCTGGTAGCTTTATTAGGAATGTTAACATTAGATGGTTTAAATCACATTGTAAGAACAATAGCCTGACTCTCACTGATGCACATCTTCTAACAACTTTTATCTCATTGGAAAGTTTACCATCAGAGGTTTATTTAAGATACCTAAAGTTGGAAGTATTATCTGGGGAATTTCTACAAACCCACCCCATGGCTTTTGGCATAATTCACATAAACCCTTGAGAGTAGTTCACAGCCAAATGCACCAAGCACTGGTATGTAAGACTCTCCTGAATTAAACATTCAGCTTGAAATGACACAGTTGTGGGCACAAAAAGCTGTCTGCTCAGAAACAGGCTCCATCAGACTTTAGTAGTAACACGAGGACCTTCAGGCTAATTGTGGTGTCAGTTCACATTCAGTCGAGAAGAAGAAAGACCAGAACTGAGGATGGCTCAAATATAAGAGTAAAGGAAATAGATCCTTTTGTACAGTTTCTCCAATACAAAAGTTATTAGCAATGCTGTCACATGATATAAGTATCAGATATTTGTGTCACTGCAATTTCATTCTTTTTATTTCTAAAAATGCACACTGTGTATACTTGGCTGTAGAAAAAAACTTCCAATCTGTTAACTATAACTATATCTATAACTATAAGGTATGGTTTGTTACTTTGACAAGAAATATTTTCTTAATTAATATGAAATGTATTCATGATGTGTAAACACTGAAAATCAATATTTACTTTAGAGTACCCTACGTAAAATTGCTATTTGAACCTTTCTATGGAATTTTCTATGGAATCTTGAACTACTGCAAAGTTGTTTGTGCACTAAACACTGTTCGGGTGATTAGTGTTCCCCTTGGTGAGCCTGCTTAATTAAAATAATTTCTCAGCCACTGAACGCAATGCAAGTCAACAGAAGATTTTTATAGTATGTCAGAGTTGCCTACATTTAGAAGACAAATTGGACTAATTTAAAACATCTTCTAACTGTTCTTCAACATCTTCTTGAAGCTGATTGAGCTTACACCAAAACTTGTTTATTGGGGTGAGACTGGTGTTTTTTAACTTATCTATTTAAAGTGCTAACAAAAAATGTTCACAACTTATAATAATTTTATTTAGTTAGCCTAAAGACTGTGGACTAGTTACTAAAACATTTAAAATTTTCTTCAGTGTATGCATGTTACCATTCAAATGTTTGGCTTCTTTTTCTTCAAGAAATGAATGCTTTTATTCAGCAAGAATGCACTAAACTGATCAAAGTGACAGTAAAGACATTCATAATATTAGTAATGCTATTTCAAATAAATGCATTACATTCTATTCACCAAAGAATCCTGAAAAAAAGTGTATCATGGTTTCCACAAAAATATTAAGCAGCACAACAGTTTTCAAGATTGATAATAATAATAAATGTTTCTTGAACAGCAAATCAGTATATTAGAATGATTTCTGAAAGATCATGTGACACTGAAGACCACAGTAATGGCTGCTGAAAATTACATTTTAAAATATATTAAAACAGAAAACAAACAACAACAAAAAAAATCTACATTTTACAGTATTTTTGAACAAATGAATTCAGTCCTGGTGAGCATAAGAGGCTTCTTTCAAAATAATAATAAAAAATCTTACCAACCCAAACTTTTTGAACAGTAGTGTATACGCGTGGATGTGTACATGTGTGTAATCAGGCATATGTATGTGTGTGTGTGTAGTGTGGCCTACTTTGGACTGGAGCTTCTTTCCCTCCTAACTCAGTAAGTCAAGCAGTAAGGGACCTGACCTGCTTCCCAGAGCTGTGAAGTGTTAGCTGCAGAGTGAATGCAGGCATGAAATAAATGAAGATATAACGGTGAGGGGAAAATGTTGCGTGGTTTATCCGAGCACAATGAAGACACTAAATGAGATGAGAGTAATGCAGGTGGGAGAGCATGTGTGGGAGAAGGAAAGCGAACGAGAGAGATAGTTTGGGTAGTGGGGCTTTATCTGCCCGGCAACAGTGGCAAACCATAGGTCCAAACCACATGAGGTCAGGCTGGCGCCGTCATGGAGCTTGGAATAATTTGAGCTCATTTGAATTGTACTTAGGAGCGAAAATGTCTTGTTAATGTAAATTTGAACACCAGATTGATAGTTTGGGTAGTGGGGCTTTATCTGCCCGGCAACAGTGGCAAACCATAGAAACTCCAGGAATGTGTGGCGACATGAGGTCAGGCTGGCGCCATCATGGAGCTTGGAATAATTTGAGCTCAATTGAATTGTACTTAGGAGCGAAAATGTCTTGTTAATGTAAATTTGAACACCAGATATGAAAAATACAGATCAACATACAACAGTTCCTCTTCATAAGCTCAACTCAAGATATATCCTGAACTTTACCTTACACACACGGGCCACCCTGGCCACTTTGGTCTGACTGGAGTAAGCTGTTGGTTCCGTGTTTCTCTCCGTGAAGAAGAAGTAGAGTTTGTCATCATCCCCAATGGAGCTGTTGATGCTCTCTCTGAGTAATGCTGAGCCAACAAAATCTGACTCTACGAGAAAGAACATCAGCGTTGACTGCTGCCCACACCACAATGGACCACTTAAGAGCCTTACTGATCTTATTGTGTGTCTGAGAAATTTCAAAGTACATTGTTTATCGATTAAAATATAGTGACTCTTTTGGGATTTTCTGTTCCTTTTAATGTTATATCTGTGCTGTTACTTTTCTAAGCAATCAGACTATTTGATTCTTGTTTGGCAGATGAGACAGCAAGTACAAATAGAACATTAACAGAAGGACCTGAGTCTTAGCAAGTAACCATTCAGAATACCATAGCAACTAAAAAGAAACATACAAAAAAAACACTCAGAACACCTTAGCAATGCCCTAGAAGCTACCTACAATACCCGAACATTATGGTTGCATAGGCGAACACCATTTACATTCTACTTTTTCAAAAACCCCAATGGAGCTGTTGATGCTCTCTCTGAGTAATGCTGAGCCAACAAAATCTGACTCTACGAGAAAGAACATCAGTGTTGACTGCTGCCCACACCACAATGAACCACTTATGAGCCTTACTGATCTTATTGTGTGTCTGAGAAATTCCAAAGTACATTGTTTATCGATTAAAATATAGTGACTCTTTTGGGATCTTCTGTTCCTTTTAATGTTATATCTGTGCTATTACTTTTCTAAACAATCAGACTATTTGACTCTTGTTTGGCAGATGAGACAGCAAGTACAAATAGAACATTAACAGAAGGACCTGAGTCTTAGCAAGTAACCACTCAGAATACCATAGCAACTAAAAAGAAACATACAAAAAAACACTCAGAACACCTTAGCAATGCCCTAGAAACTACCTATAATATTATAATATAAATTATGGTTGCATAGGTGAACACCATTTACATTCTACTTTTTCAAAAAAAATGGTCAACTAACCCAACAGCCATCTTGTTGGGGAATCATCTGTCCGCAAGTTGGGGAAGGGAAAGTTGCGTCGTATATCAGGGATGTTGTGAAACTCATACTGGGAGGCAGAGTACATCTCACCATCTGTAACAGCAAATCTTATAGGTCACACTAGAAGAAACATGCAAGTTATGAAATAAGGTTATGAATCTAAATCATTTACCTATTATAAATCCAGTGTAGCCCTTTGTAGGGTCATAAGGACATTTCTCCTTTCCCTCCTCAAAACGCACAAAGGTAAAGCGTGCCACATCCTGACCAAAGCAGGGAGATTTATAAGCACCTTGCTCTATCTTATAGTAATAAAGCATTCATGATTGCAATTCCTTTGCAATATGAGGTACAGTAAAGAGAGAGTAAACGTCTCACTATGTAAGCACAGCGTGGTCTGAAGGCATGTGTCCCGCAGGTGTACAGGTGAGTGTCATTGTATCTGTCCAGGAACCGCACATGATTGTAGCATTCAGTCTGTGATGAAACAAGCAAGAAATTATTCTAGAACACTTACATTTTCAACAAAAAAAAGATACATTATGCAGTACCATATGCAGACTTTAGGGGGTGCTGTGGAGAAAACTGCCAATAGTCGAAAATGTTTTATTATTGTTTGAGAGTGGAAATCAGGGTTTTTATCGTTAACTAAAGCCATTTAAAAAATTGTTACTTGAAATAAAATGAATGTTAACTGAAGAAACTTCCTGTACGGTTATCTATACATCACAAAAAAGTACATATTTTCATGCTATATAGCACTTCAGATGTGGTTTTCCATTTATCCATTTGAAAGAAGCGTTTATCCAAAGCAACTTAAAGTGAATTCAGGCTATACATTTTACCAGAACTTATCAATCAATCACATGACACTGAGTTGAGCTGTGGGATTTAGGGAAGGATACACATCAAGAATGGCAATACCTGATTGTTCTTTCCTTTGCTCAGGCACTGCCTCTTCTGGTCAGAAGATGCTGCCCATTCCAGCTGTTATATAGATATGGACAACTATGATCAGCCCAACTGCTTTAGGTAGAGAAATTAAGTATATTGAACAAAGGCAGAACTTACAGATAGAGAGATATCGGTGTCAGAGATGTTAGTGGTGTCCAGTTTGTAAATGGCTTCTCTGGCCCCAACATACAACAACCCTGGTCCATCCTCCAGTAACAGAGAGCTATAGTTCACTGCAGCTCCATGGAAATGATTACAACCCAGCAGCCCTGCGAACAGCGAGAGAAACCCAGTTAAAAAAAACAGGGACAAACATGACCAAATCATGTCGACAACATAGAGATCCACTCATAGCTCAACACTGTTTGGTCTATTATTGGAAATATTTGAACTGAGATGAACAGATGGAGAACTGAATCCTTATCAGCAACCTTTGAATAAACTAAATGGCAACAAAGAAAACATGACCATGAAAACATAATAATAAAGCAAAGCTTCATTCAGCAGCATGAGAAGGTATGGCATGAATTGCATTAATGTGACATAGTTTCACCACAAACTAAGATCTAACTTCACTGTAAAAAAGAAATGCTGGTATAATAAAAAGAGGGGAAAAAAAGAGTGAGGGAAAGCAAAAAGGTACTGGATTTAACACTTCCTGTTTTTATGTACAATGATAAAATGTCTCTCTGAAATATTGACATTTTTGGGTGGTCTGCTTCCTCAAATTAAGGGCATAAAGTAAACCCAGGCACATTCTGAAGGGTAAAGGACTTGCCCATCTACAACACTGCATGCTGAGATTTCCTGCCCCATACTGAGAGACGGGTGGGCTATGCTGATGAGACTTGGCAGTATTAGGCCACATATCAACCATGGTACCCCTCAAATGCCCTTCCCCTAACTCGCAAAACACCCTTCCCCCCAAACACGGTGCTAAAGTCTACATCAGCAACAACATACAGTAAATCCAGCATGCAAGCTTGGAACACAAAAGATTTGGAATCAGAATTTAAAAGTGATTTGTGCCCTATCATATTTTTCATCCTCTTTTTTGAGCAAAATAAAAAACCGTGTGTTTTAAAGACTGAACATAGTGTACTAAAATACTCTCAGAGAGAGAAACAAACAGTGTGGCCATTGTTTTCCAATTACAGAATGAATAACACTAATCAGTCGGCTCCTTTTGGTGAATCAAAAGCATACAGACAGTCCATTTCAAGTAAAGTCTGTTCACGGAATTGCATTAATGTGACATAGTTTCACCACAAACTAAGATCTAACTTCACTGTAAAAAAGAAATGCTGGTATAATAAAAAGAGGGGGAAAAAAGAGTGAGGGAAAGCAAAAAGGTACTGGATTTAACACTTCCTGTTTTTATGTACAATGATAAAATGTCTCTCTGAAATATTGACATTTTTGGGTGGTCTGCTTCCTCAAATTAAGGGCATAAAGTAACCCCAGGCACATTCTGAAGGGTAAAGGACTTGCCCATCTACAACACTGCATGCTGAGATTTCCTGCCCCATACTGAGAGACGGGTGGGCTATGCTGATGAGACTTGGCAGTATTAGGCCACATATCAACCATGGTACCCCTCAAATGCCCTTCCCCTAACTCGCAAAACACCCTTCCCCCCAAACACGGTGCTAAAGTCTACATCAGCAACAACATACAGTAAATCCAGCATGCAAGCTTGGAACACAAAAGATTTGGAATCAGAATTTAAAAGTGATTTGTGCCCTATCATATTTTTCATCCTCTTTTTGAGCAAAATAAAAAACCGTGTGTTTTAAAGACTGAACATAGTGTACTAAAATACTCTCAGAGAGAGAAACAAACAGTGTGGCCATTGTTTTCCAATTACAGAATGAATAACACTAATCAGTCGGCTCCTTTTGGTGAATCAAAAGCATACAGACAGTCAATTTCAAGTAAAGTCTGTTCACTTATTGGCCATATTTACAGCACCTCTGAACGCCTTCTACTTGAGCCTTCTACTACAAAGTCTGACATAAACTGTCCCTTAAATGTTGTTTCTTATGCTCAAATAGCATTAAAAAAGCTTATATTTCAGTTTGGTCAATTGAATGTGCTTGTGCAGCCATAAGCACATCTCAAGACACTGACTGTTTCTATGACAACCAAAACCTCTAACTGCAGCTGCAGTAATACCATGACTATCAACTGCTGATTGGCTCTTTTTTTTGTAAGGCGGTACTTTTTCCACCATACTGTGCGTTGCACTTTCTTCAATTCATAATAGCACGAGTGCACCGTGTCTGTATTGCATATCTAAAGTCTTTGATTCAGAGCAACCAGTGTTTTCCTATTCCCAAACGAATGCCTCTTATAAGCCGGTTCTTTTTAGTGAACCAAAAGCATAGAGCACAACCAGTGTAGTCTAATTCCAAAACGAATGACTCTTACGAGCTGGTTCTTTTTAGTGAACCAAAAGCCTACAGAGAAACCAGTGTAGTAGTCTGATATCTGAACGAATGACTTTTGTGAGCTGGTTCTTTTTAGTGAATCAAAAGCTTACAGTGCAACCAATGACTCAGGCCTTTTTTTTTAATGAATCTAAAGGCATACATATTACCAATGTAATCCGATTTCCAAACAAATGAATTTTGTTAGATGGATATTTTTTTGGTGAATCAAAAGCATACAAGTGCTGTCTGCTTCCTTAACGAATTATTATAATGAGCTGGTTCTTTTTAGAGAATCAAATACATACAGCTTACAGATTACTGAGATTTAATTCAGAGTAGTTACAGACTGGTTATTTATATGACATTGCATAAAGATACACATTATGAGCTCTGCCTCTGACAGTAATATTTTACAAATATTAACACTAGACAAGCAGTGCTGGTAACAACACTAGTGTTGTTTGAGCTAGCGTGAAAATGAGTGACAGTATAAACCAAAAAATTCAAGGCCATGAGGATCTAAACTGTCAATCAAAGAAAGGTCACAACAGACCTACGGGTTGCTGTGCGCGTGGGAGGGCCAAGGGCTAAAATTACTCATAACAGGAAAAAATATTAAGTTATGCAAACACGATTCAAGACCTCAGGCTTGAATCAAAAGCTTACAGTGCAACCAATGACTCAGGCCTTTTTTTTAATGAATCTAAAGGCATACATATTACCAATGTAATCCGATTTCCAAACAAATGAATTTTGTTAGATGGATATTTTTTTGGTGAATCAAAAGCATACAAGTGCTCTCTGCTTCCTTAACGAATTATTATAATGAGCTGGTTCTTTTTAGAGAATCAAATACATACAGCTTACAGATTACTGAGATTTAATTCAGAGTAGTTACAGACTGGTTATTTATATGACATTGCATAAAGATACACATTATGAGCTCTGCCTCTGACAGTAATATTTTACAAATATTAACACTAGACAAGCAGTGCTGGTCTAGTGTTGTTTGAGCTAGCGTGAAAATGAGTGACAGTATAAACCAAAAAATTCAAGGCCATGAGGATCTAAACTGTCAATCAAAGAAAGGTCGCAACAGACCTACGGGTTGCTGTGCGCGTGGGAGGGCCAAGGGCTAAAATTACTCATAACAGGAAAAAATATTAAGTTATGCAAACACGATTCAAGACCTCAGGCAAAGTGACGACATTCTGTGTGTGTTGTTAATCCTTGTGTCTCATTGTGTAGATAGAGAAAGATAGTGACTGTAACACACACAGTGATGAGTGCAGAGCTGATGATAAACTGAGAGATCACACAAAAGCCTTTGAGCCCAAAGCTCATTGTGTGTCCTTGAACCATGTACGCACACAGCCACTCATACACACACATCCACATCCATACCACTATTACTTTTTATAATCACATATCAGGATTTAAGAAAAGGGAAAATGCAGACAAGAGCAGAAATTTGGATGTACATTGCTGGAAATTATAAGAGAGCCCTATGTAATAAACATCTGATATGTTTGTCTTTGGACTACTTGATTTTAATTAGTCAATCATGGCACTGAGTGGTCAAATATTTTCATATAATGACTGCTAAACTGTATATTTGGCCACCGTCTATGGCAGCATGCCGCTGCTGCTTTATATTGTCTCTTTTGTGGTCTCACTTTTTTCATATCAATGCAAGTTAAAATATCTCATTAGCACCATCTTGAGACTCAAAATGACTAGCTACCAATTACTAAAAATGGCCTCTTATTAATTTTTTTAAAATATGGTGACTATAAAACTGTTAAAAAAAGGTTTCCAGCAACATTTAAAAGAATATTGGGGATGCAGTCTTTGTCACATTACCAATAGATAGTAAGAAAATTAAAACTTTTTTTTTTACTTTAACCAGCAAATAATTTTTCTGAAACATTCTTTGAATTCAATTAATTTCAATTCAATTCAGTTCAAATGTATTTGTATAGCGCTTTTCACAATACACATTTTCAAAGCAGCTTTACAGAAAATGCATGTGTCTACATTATAATTTAGAGTGATCTGTTATCAATATTGCATTTTATGTATACTAATTTCATCCTTTTTTATCATTATAAATATTATATTAATTATTGTATGGATGCCATGACAGTTATAGAATACTACTGCTCCCTGTTGCATGCTTTCACTGAAAATGTTCATATGCAGATTAAAATGTTATGGTTTTTAATAATGCTGTCATTATTTTGTGTTAGGAAATTTATTTATTATGATTTTTTTTAAACTGTAAATGTATATGGAAATCTTCAATATAGAATACATTTATGTTATTTATTTTAGGCTATTCGCATTTATTTCTGTTTAAAATTAGGGGACCAGCAAGAGGGTTCCTACGTTGCACTCATAAATAAAGGTTCTTTACTGGCATATATGGGTCCATGAAGAACATTTGACATCCATGGAACCTTTCCATTGCACAAAAGTTTCTTTACATAGATAATTAAACTTTTCTTCACACTAAAAAATTCCTCTTTTAAGAACTGATCACAGAACATGTTTCTTCTATGGAATTGCTGCAAAAAATAAACAAACGTATTTTTTAAGAGTGTAGGCTTAAAGGGGTCATATGATGTTGCTAAAAAGAACATTATTTTGTGTATTTGGTGTAATGAAATGTGTTAGGTTCAAAACACATTATTTTCCACATAATGCACATTATTGTTTCTCCTCTATGCCCCACCTTTCTGAAACGCGTTGATTTTTACAAAGCTCATCAGTCTGAAAAGCGAGGTGTGCTCTGATTGGCCAGCTATCTAGTGCGTTGTGATTGGCCGAATACCTCAAGCGTGTGACAGAAATGTTATGCCCCTTACCATACTTTGATGCCGTGTCCCGGAGCGACGAGACAAAAACATTAAAACCCATTATAATCGAGGCATTTGTTGCATCCAGTGGGGACATAATTACGGATTATAATGACTTATACTGTCTTTTTACGCGTTGCATTGCATCGTGCTGCGTAAACATAAAATCATGTCTGCATTTGTGATCGGAGAAATGACAAACAACAAGCGCTACTCTACACTGCTCAAAACTCGCATTTGAATCATCGGTGGCCAATTCTTTAAATATGAAAACATACTTACAGACTGTGAGTCAGAACAGCCGGCATTGTAGTATCCCAGGATCAGGAAACAGTCCTCCATAAAATGTGCTGCACACATCTGAATATTTGGGTTGAACTGTTCAGGAACAGTGTTGTAAATACAACTTAACCACTGATTTCTAGTCGTGTCCTCTTTCAAACAAAAGTATTTTCGCTTTTGCAACAAAACACACAACGTCTTCACAACATGGTGGCAGCAACAATAAAGTTACACCTTCTTTCTTTGTGTGAACATTTGGGCGGTGTTATGCAAATCTTCCCACATCATGACGTAGACATGTGGGGGCGTGTTTAAATTAGGCGTTTTAGGAGGGCGTGGACCAGCCTTAACTTTTATAAAGAATATCTCTTTGGGTTTGAGACTTTAGTCTTTGCAACTTTAGGGATCTTTTCTGTTCACGAAAAGCTTGTAACACTCCAAAGAAAAAGGAACACTTGAAATCGCATCATATGACCCCTTTAAACAAACAAAATTACACTAGACATGCACACTGTGTCAATGTCTGAAATCAATTTTCATCTAATTATTTGCAGCACTCCATGATCCCAATTTTTAAGAACCACTTTCTTTCGGAACTGCTGTTATTTATAACATAACGGCAAACAAGGGTCTCACTGCTAGTGCACAAACTGCCCTACCGCACCAGCTTATAAACATAGACTGACTCTGTGCATCACTGAGGGAACAAGTCCATGAGCAGAGTCAACACAGCGCCCAAGGCCTCCTGTTGTGTTCTAGCAGTGTGTGGTTTGTTTACTGTTCCCTAGAATGAACACTGGAACCAAGTTTCAACCACACAACCTTCGTGCCAAGCTGGTAATATACAAATTGCGCATACAGATTGTCTGTATGAACTGTGTTATTTCAGTTTTTCTTTTTTAATAAATCTGCATAAATGTCAACAATTCTGTGTTTTTCTGTCAATATGGGGTGCTGTGTGTACATTAATGAGGAAAAAAAATTAACTTAAATGATTTTAGCAAATGGCTGCAATATAACAAAGAGTGAAAAATTTAAGGGGGTCTGAATACTTTCCGTACCCACTGTATATATATATATATATATATATATATTGGTAATTCTTTGTGATACGTTCATACGTTTTTGAAAGAAATTAATACTTTTATTCTGCAACAGTGCATTAAATTGATTAAAACTGACAGTAAAGAAACTTATGTTACTAAATATTTCTATTTAAAAAATGCTGTTATATTAATATAATATTAAATGTAGTGACATTGATGTTAAAATAGTATATGTGTGTGTGTATACAGTATATATGTAGACAGTAAGATTTTTTGAAAATATTATTGCAAAAAAAATTACTTTTCTATTTTAACAGTAATATAACAACATTTATTTGAAATAAATAAATTAATAAATAATTTAATTAATTAATAAAATTACTGTATAACATCTCAAGGTCTTAGATATTCAATAGACAAACATTACACAGACAGACACAGAAAGTCAAGAGATACATGTAGACGTCTCTTAAGACCCCAGATGCACTTTTCTCCTCACCCTGCTAACCCAGACGAATTACACATGTATACATATTTCATTTCAACATTACTTCAGGTCTGCTAAGCACTACGAAAACCAGACAGCGATGAACCCAACGATCTGCAGATAAAAGAAAACACTCCATGTACTCAAACCCACTGCAGCAAACCATTAAAGAAAGATAGCACCTTTTGTTACACCCACAAAATGATCTCTTCTTGAATTCAACATTTTAACACTCTCCCCGATAAGACATATTGTAAGACACAAGCTTGATTTAGCAGAGATTCAACGCTCTTACATGCATGTCTGTACACTCTCCCTGTATGCTCTAGCCCTCCCTCTCATCCCAAGAGAGCCAAAATATAGGTCAAGGACTTGAGTCAACCAGGGCAAGGAGAAAAATACAATAATGAAGACAAAATTACATGAACAAGATCTGCAGTGTCTGAGCACAAATTATCAGCACGAATGGATTGTATGAGCCATTATGCAGCAGCAAACTTTAGCAACACTTAAAGGGGTCATATGATGTTGCTAAAAAGAACATTATTTGGTGTATTTGGTGTAATGAAATGTGTTAAGGTTTGGTTTAAGGTTAAAAAAACACATTATTTTCCACATACTGTACATTATTGTTTCTCCTCTATGCCCCGCCTTTCTGAAACACGTCGATTTTTACAAAGCTCATCATTCTGAAAAGCGAAGTGTGCTCTGATTGGCCAGCTATCCAGTGTGTTTTGATTGGCCGAATACCTCAAGTGTGTGACGGAAATGTTACGCCCCTACGATACTGTGATGGAGCGACTAGACAAAAACATTAAAAAAACCATTATAAACGAGGCATTTGTTGCATCCAGTGGGGACATATTTATGGATTATAATGACTTATACTGTCTTTTTACGCGTTGCATTGCATCGCGCCGCATAAACATAAAATCATGTCTGCATTTGTGATCGGAGAAATTACAAACAACTAGCGCTACTCTACACTGCTCAAAACTCGCATTTGAATCATCAGTGGCAAATTCTTTAAATATGAAAACGTACTTGCAGACTGTGAGTCAGAACAGCCGGCATTGTAGTATCCCAGGATCAGGAAACAGTCCTCCATAAAATGCGCTGCACACATCTGAATATTTGGGTTGAACTGTTCTGGAACAGTGTTGTAAATACAACTTAACCACTGATTTCTAGTCGTGTCCTCTTTTGGAAGGCCAAACTAAACTATTTTTGCTTTCATAACGAAACACACAGCGTCACACACGGCGGGATAGAGTGAGAGGAGTATCGTCCTCTTTTGGAAGGCCAAACAAAGAAGTTTTGCTTTCACAACGAAACACAGCGCCTTCACGACATGGCGGCAGTGGCGGCAACAACAATACTACAGCGAGAATAAAAGTTACACCTTCTTTCTTTGCGTGAACATTTGGGCAGTGTTATGCAAATCTTCCCACACAGTGACGTAGACATGTGGGGGCGTGTTAGAATGAGGTGTTTTAGGAGGGCGTAGACAAGTCTTAACTTTTATAAAGAATATCTCTTTGGATTTGAGACTTTAGTATTTGCAACTTTAGGGATCTTATCTATGCATGAACAGCTTGTAACACTCCAAAGAGAAAGGAAAATTTGAAATTGCATCATATGACCCCTTTAAGTTTAAGCACTTGAGTGGGTAAAGATGCACGAAAGATGTCATAACATTCTCAATCATTTTACAAGTATGTCAATTATCTTACATGCAATGAAGTAAAAAGGTGATGTATATCATTTTTATGATGTTAAAATGCTTTCGTATCTCATATTCTCGTCGTTCATTGGCTGATTCCACTTAAAAATGTGAACACTGGCTCTATGGGGCTATCAAAACATAGCTCTATTTGTTTGAGCATCCTGACCAGCCAGAAACAGCACAATTGGCTTAAACAATGGTGTGAGTCTGTGGTGATAAATACACATTTATTTTCATCAGTGCAGTCAGAGGGCAAATCTACTCTAAGAGAACATTGAGCTATAGAAAAAGCTTGGGCTTTATTCCAATTGCAGGCATTATTCATCAATAACAGCTATTAACGTTAAACTACAATTACTGGGAACCCATCTGTTGTACAAAGCATAAAGACAACAAGCTTTGACAGATTTAGGAGCATCAGTGAGGCCTAGTGCTGATGAAGCCTGGATCACAATTGGTTTATGAAACGACTTTGTTCAGGCCTCTTTAAGTTTTTCACACAAACCATTTTATTAGTTACTGACTTCTTTGCACATCATACAACTTTGGTATGTAGTGGCCACCATATCTCCAGGATAGTTCAAAACTGTGATTTTTTTGATGAAAGGAGAGCATTTATATGAAATAGAATGCTTTTGTAACATTGTAAATGTCTACTGTCACTTTTGATCAATTTAATGCATCCTTGCTGAATAAAAATATTAATTTCTTTCCAAAAAAAAGAAACACTACACGATACACTATCATGGACATGTTTCAAATCCATCACACACTGAGAGCCCATGTGTTAGTCCAGGCTAAACTCACAGGAGTGAGTGTGGCCTAACCTCACTTTATATTCTCATGGCATCTGCTGTGAGAATCTCATGAACTGGGCCAGGACAAGTGAGAAGGGCTGTTTAATAATATCCAGAGAACTGCCATAGCCTCCAGCACTGCAGGCAAAACAGTGTCAAACACATTCAGCACAGCCCATGAATGAAGCAAGACACACCTGATACTTTTATTGACTATGGAAACTAAGTAAATGCCAAAGTAAATGCTCTCATGATGTGTAATTTGAGGTATAATATTTAAACAAATCTTATTTAATAAGAAAATCAGACTTAATAAGAATCTCAAAAACATCAAGCTTTAAGTTTAAAATCTTAAGTTTAAGTCTTTCAAAAGTATTAATTCAATCAAGACGAACATTCAACATCCATTCATATTAATTTCTTTGCATATCAATTAATTTAAATTCTACTTCCTTACATTAAGATCTGAATTCTGCATCCTCTTTGTTACCTTAATTCAAATTCAGTTCAAATTCAGGAATCGAATTTAACTTCAAAAGGCATTCACAATTCAGTTCTGACTAGCACACAACACTGAATTACATGTAAAGAGCCTTACCATTAACATGTACAGTTGTCCTGGGGGTGACATCCATATCAAGAACCGGTCCAAATGGAAAACCCCAAATGACAGGTATTAGGTATCCAAACACCATCAGCATGAAGTTGGGCTGTTTGGTCTGCCGCATGATCAACAATATGTACTGAGGTTCTGCTAAGATCCAGGCAGGTTCCTCCAGCAGTACTTTGCTGACGATAATGTTGTTGTGTAATGGATGCTGATTCACTAGAACAAGCTCCCACTTCCAGTAGTGCAGTCATGGGCTGCTAACTCATCCTTGCTCTGTCAAAGGTTTCCCGCTGCATTGGCAAGAAAACATGAGTAAGTCTCTTCCTTCCCAAGACACATATCGAGAGCAGATGGTTTGATGAGAAAACACGTCAAACACAAATGCATTCACTAAACATCTCATAGTGCAATGCACGTCTACTGTATCAAATGCTATTATCAAACAAACCACATCGCATGAAAATGTGCAAAACAATTAACATTCCTGTAGCTGCCTGGTACATCATGGTGCTTGTTTCTCAGGAAACAGACAAACTGATAAAATACTTACAAAGTTGGATAAAAGTGCACCAAATGCATCAATTCCATGATGTTTCCTCAAAGCAACAAACCCATTTTCTACACTTTCCAAGCACATGATGCATATAAGATGGTAATAAATAGTTAATATTGAAGGGACGCCTTTGAATAAAACAATACAAAGATTTTACTTGGTCACGCTGAAGTACAGTCAGTCATTTTAAATCAATTGTTCGCCCCCAAAAAATGAAAAATTAATGAAAATCCACTCACCTGCTGGCCATCCAAGATGTAGATGAGTTTGGTTTTTCATCGGAACAGATTTGGAGAAATGTATCATTACATCACTTGCTCACCAATGGATCCTCTGCAGTGGATGGGTGCCGTCAGAATGAGAGTTTAAACAGGTGATGATGACAATAATCCACAAGTAATTAAGTAATCCACAAACTGCAGTTCCCAGTCAATTAATGAGTCTTCTATCCATATTATTGCTTTCTCTATGTAAAAAATAGTCTCATCTGAATCAGGAGAGAAATATACACATATCATGCACCATTTACAAGCGAAAACTGTCCAAAACAGTTGGGTGGATTTTGATGTGAGAGGACAACAGGGGAAGGACTTTTTCACTTCTAATGTTATTATGGATTATGGATTCTCTATCTATGTTTTAGCTAGACGCGATGGTTTAAAGTTAAAACTTAATGATGGATTTGTTTGTTACAAACACACAACTTTTTTACTTCACAAGATGTTAACTGATGGACTGGAGTCATGCGAATTACCTGTGAATCACTGTGATGTTTTTATTCGCTGTTTAAAAAAAATGTATAGCCTGAATGCACTGTAAATCGCTTTGGATAAAAGCGTCTGCTAAATGCAAATAAATGTTTGAACTCTCATTCTGACGGCAGAGGATGCATTGTTGAGCAAGTGATGTAATGCTAAATTTCTCCAAATCTATTCTGACGAAGAAACAAACTCATCTACATCTTGGACAGTGCAAGAGTGAGTACATTTTCAGCAAATTTTCATCTTTTTTTGGCATGATGCACAATTGTGGAGGATGCACAATTTTTGGCTCTGGAGAACTGCCTCAAAAGCAGATTTTGTAGCTTAGTTTTGATTCACTTTATAGTGAGTAAACTTTATTTCAAAACACTTAGCGTCACAGAAATTTGTTGTATATTATGAGGTATCGCTTAAATGTGTTTGTTGTCTAAACACCATTTTGTGATGGTGAAATGGATATGGATGCAGTGGATATAGATACAATAGATGCAGCCACTATATACCATATTGAAGTGAATATAAATGGCTTTGCTTTGCTCCCATTTCTTACTGGAAAGCTGCTGGGTTAATGCATATCACTCCATCTATTCAGACATATACTGTACCATAAACACATAAGCATTAACACTTCTCCTGTTACAATAAGTACCCTGCTCGGGGTAGTATGGACAAGAGACATGTTAACCTGATCACATCACATGCTGGAAAAGTACATTTGCCAGCCTGCATATAATACACTAAATACTGTACTTAGTACATACAGAAGCATTAAGCATAGAGATCCACCCAAATGTGGGATTTTATGGCATATCTCACTAATTCTGCATCTGCACTTAATCTAGTTTAGCTGCACTGAAAGAGTCATGAGAGATTTTAAAGTAATGAGAATTTTCAAGTCTAATTTCCAATACTGATTACTGCATCCTGAAATGCTACTTATAATTATGCATGTCAAAATAGTTCATGCATCCATTCCATCAGACATTATAACCAGTTCCCCTACAATAACTTGTACTCGTACAATAACAGTTCTCGTTCAGGTTGAGATGTAAAAGAAATAATATGTTTTTTATTTGATGTAATGGAAAGAATGAACCATTCAAGACTTCTGAGTGCATTAGAGACCAGATTAATAGCCGAAGGTACACTCTTAAAAATAAAGGTGCTTCAAACGGTTCTTCAAGCGATGCCATAGAAGAACCATTTTTGGTTCCACAAAGAACCATTCAGTCAAAGGTTCTTTAAAGAACCATCTCTTTCTTACCTTTTTGTAATCTGAAGAACCTTTTTTCGCCACAAAGAACCTTTTGTGAAACAGAAAGGTTCTTCGGATGTTGAAGGTTCTTTATGGAACCATTTAGACAAAAAGGTTCTTCTATGGCATCATGAAGCACCTTTATTTTTAAGAGTGTACTGTTACTTTGATACCATTAATGAGCACATTATCTGTTTTACTTGGATTAATTAAATCAAATAACAATGGCATTGTTTCTGAAGATGCCCCCCCCCCCCTCAATTTAAAATAATTTATTTTATAAATTATTCTAGGCTGATTTTCTGTCTGAATTTCTAAATGCGTCTTTTAGTCACAGAAGTAAACGTTACCCGCTCCATCTGCCATTCTCTGTCATTGTGATGCAATTTTACTTGTATAGAAAAGATATCAAAAATAATAATTTAATCCAGCACAGGAAATAAACCCGAGGACATGAACAGTGTTAATCCAAGCTCTGGTCCAACTAAATACCGCACAGATAAAATGCATGCTAGTAATTTACTAAGTTTAAATTGTATTAATAATTAATATTAATTTAGCAGGGTTGTATTAATTAAGTTTTACATTTATAAGTAGACTTGCAGAAATGCTACAATGAACCAAATTTTTAATATTACATATGCATTTTTCAACCCCTGATCAACTTCCAGAAAAAAAGAAGCTCTAACACACTGACATCTCTGATAAATCACTCAGAACCGTTCACTTCATAAAAATCAGGTCTCATAGCATCAGATTTACAAAGCATACACTTGCAAAACAAATATACTGGTTAGATAGATAGATAGATAGATAGATAGATAGATAGATAGATAGATAGATAGATAGATAGATAGATAGATAGATAGATAGATAGATTATAAAAAGTGTTTTAGTTTGTGCCTGCGTGTGGTCTACATCAGATTGCACACCACTGCGGTATTTTTAAAGGAGACTTCTGGCACTCATTCCCAGTCACCTTCACCTGCGTGTAGAGAGCCCAGCAGGCTCCGTTTATATTACAATAGATTATGCGCAAAGATACCTACTTATAGCCTAACTACACAGATGTGATAAAAAAGCACATGCAAAATGTCAAAGATATATCATAAACTCTGTAGTTACATTACCTGACTGTTTCAGAAAAAATATAAGCATCAGTCACCCTGTGTTTCCATATGATCCCCTGTTATGCAGCTAATGATGCCTCTGCTCCAGAGATCTGACTGTGTACTGCGCTGCATGCTGCACGCTCCTCAGAGCAGTCTCAGGTGAAGCCAAGCCACGCCTCTCTGGGTAATATTCATGAGCGACCACGCCTCCTCTACTATCTGTCCCAATGTCACTTCTCTAAAGCATTGGTTTACAGCATTTTAGTTTTATTAAAGTTAGAGAATGCAACGGACTTGTGCATTCATCGGGGATGGAGGGTTAAATGTGCGACCGTTGTGACACGAATTGAGTCGCTTCATTTGTATCGGTTGCCACCTACAGGTTAGTATTAAAAATGCAACATGTAGGGCACGCCGGGGCTAGTTGTCACTTGAGAGGCGGGAAGTCATAAGAGCTCGAGCTGTATTTCAGTAACTACCGGTATATAACAAGTCATTGCTTGTTTTTCTAACAGTGATTTTTCCCCCCTCTTAAATTTTTTTTATAATATCAAATACCAAAATAATATCATCTTATTTGAGCTATATAGGCCTATATTGGATCAAACAAAATTAACACAATAGATAGATTTTAAGTGAAGTTAATTTCAGGATAAGGGTATTTCCCCATAGATATTAAATGTCAAGTTATAGTTTCATATGTTAAAACTGTATCCATTGTCTCTAATTAACAGTTGCCATTGTCCAAAACAATGTATTTGTAATTTTTTCTTGTTGTCAAATGTTTACATTTTGCTATGGCATATCATTTTAAATATTGTGGAATAATACTTTAAATATTCGTAAATTGTGGAAGATATCTTATTCTATGAAAACTGTATTTTTTTCTGAATTTTTATGGTATTTTTATCGAATCACTAAGAAGTTTCCCATTTAAAAAATCCCAAATAGTGTGACAATATATTTTTAATAGCTTTTTTTATTCAAGGCTTTAAAGGATATGTACTTATTCTGTATTAGGCTATACAACAATACAAACTGAAGACTATGCTAAATTCATAGGCTAATGTTTGATTGTGATTAATATTGTATATGAGGACGATCATTTATCAGTATACAATATAATTGAAATATATTTTGGTTTGGCTGAAATAGGCCTCTGTAAGGCCTGAGCTTTAGTTTCTCACATGTTCATACCATACAATAAGAAAACGTGCCCATTATCAGCTTGTTTAGAGCTTCGGAATAGTGCATTCATGCGATTCCTCCTTAAAACTTTACTGTTAGTCAAAAATATGCAATTTAAATGGCCACAACAATGTCCACATCCACTTGATTGGCTCTATGACTCTCTCTCCTCTCCATCTGTAGCTGGTGTGTGGTGAGCGCACTGGCGCTGTTGTCCTGTGGATGCTGCACACTGGTGGTGGTTGAGGAGAGACCCCCCCACATGATTGTAAAGCGCTTTGGGTGTACAACAATACAGAGTAAAGCGCTATATAAATGCATCATTCATTCATTCAATGTAGTATGCAATATTCTCAGGTTACCAATTGAGTGTGTGTGTGTACCTGGTATTTATCATGTTATGGGGACCAAATGTCCCCACAAGGATAGTAATACTAGTCAATTTTGACCTTGTGGGACATTTTTGAGGTCCCCATGAGGAAACAAGCTTATAAATCATACAGAATGAGTTTTTTTTGAGAAAGTAAAAATGCACAAATTTTCCTGTTGGTGTAGGGCAGGGGTGGCGAACTCCAGTCCTGGAGAGTTCAGCTCCAACCCTAATTAAAACTCACCTGCCTGTAGCTTCCTAGTAACCGTTCAGACCTTGATTAGCTTGTTCCGGTGTGTTTGATTAGGGTTGAAGCAAAACTCTGCAGGGCTGCGGCTCTCCAGGACCGACGTTCGCCACCCCTGGAGTAGGACAATAGCACATACAGTTTGTACAGTATAAAAACCATTACGCCTATAGAATGTCCCCATAAAACATGGAAACACAACATGTGCGTACGTAAGTTACGTGTACAATTGGCAGCTGGAGTGAAGATGAGGAGGAGGAGGAAGAGGGAAGACTCATGACGTCACGGGATTCCTCATCCAACACGTGACATGTTTCGATACAACTGTGAAACCTAGAAACGTTTTCAGCGTCTGTTTTGACCAACAGGTGATTGCAGCTTGACATCAGCTCCATATGGTAAGTGTCGAACAGCCTAAACCGCACGGGTTCTGATCAGCTGATCCGCGGGCTGTAAGTTGGTACACGTCGCATTGCTTGATATGAAAGCGGATAGCCTGCTAGCGAGCTTAACTCGGAACAGGATTAGTAGTTTAAAGGGTTATTATAGGCTTAAAGTGTCCCGTCGCAGCTCGAACTCATAGTTTGCTCAAATATGCGTGATGTTGTGTGATTCTCTGGTCAAATGCGAACACTCTCGGCTCAGCGTGGTCAATTACTACAGGATGAGTACCGTCAGCGGCTAGCACAGATCTAGTGAAATATTGTATCATTATGCTAGTGAAATTGTAACCACGTATCATTCGAGGCGAAAACAATCGATTATGCAACTTAAGAAATATTAAATGTAATACTAAAGCATAATCGTCGAGTTGAAGCAGTCGTTCCAGCGTTTCCAGTTCCTCTTTCCAGACACAGCTCTGTGTTTCAGTGTTTTGAATCGGTAACTAAGACAATATATTTATGGATATATTTCATATTTACTTACAGGTGTCAGGAGTCCTAGTCAGTGTGATCAATGGTTGTTTTAATAGAGCTTCAGAGGTAATTAGAAAATGGAGTACGTGAGATATGAGTTGCATGCATACATTTTATAATTATTGTTAATGTAAAATAATAAAACGCATATGTTGGTGAACAACTTAAAGGAGATATTATGAAACAAGGAAAGGCTCAATTCTACTCAATTATAGGTTATGGCAAATAATGCAAATTTGTGACATGTATTTTTTGATATATGGAATTGTTACATAATTGTGAAATTATTTTTGTAGTTTTAAATGAATTATTGTGCCCTTGAATGAATAAATGCATATTAAAGTGTCAGTGTTCCAAAGAAATTAGAAAATGCCTCATTCTACTCTTATAATTATAGGTTATGATAAATAATATGTGTGGCGTTCCTTTTTTTAATATATGACAATATTAAATAATTATGAAATTGTAGCTATAATTCTAAATTAATTGTTGTTCCCTTAAATTAATAAATGTACATAAAAATGTCAATGTTCTGATGACATTAGAAAAGGCCTCGTTTTACTCAGTTAAAGGTTGTGACAAATAATGTGTGACATGAGATATGAGTTGCATGCATACATTTTATAATTATTGTTAATGTAAAATAATAAAACGCATATGTTGGTGAACAACTTAAAGGAGATATTATGAAACAAGGAAAGGCTCAATTCTACTCAATTATAGGTTATGGCAAATAATGCAAATTTGTGACATGTATTTTTTGATATATGGAATTGTTACATAATTGTGAAATTATTTTTGTAGTTTTAAATGAATTATTGTGCCCTTGAATGAATAAATGCATATTAAAGTGTCAGTGTTCCAAAGAAATTAGAAAATGCCTCATTCTACTCTTATAATTATAGGTTATGATAAATAATATGTGTGGCGTTCCTTTTTTTAATATATGACAATATTAAATAATTATGAAATTGTAGCTATAATTCTAAATTAATTGTTGTTCCCTTAAATTAATAAATGTCAATGTTCTGATGACATTAGAAAAGGCCTCGTTTTACTCAGTTAAAGGTTGTGACAAATAATGTGTGACATGGATTTTTTAATATATGGAAATATAAAATTGTGTATATATATATATATGTCCTACTTGGCCCCTAATGGTCATTCAAACTTGGCTACAGAAATTTGCGTAAAAAGGGTGTGATTGTTTGACATTTCGGTCAAATAAAAGAGTCTTCCGTCAATATGAGAACCGTTCCCACGCATCCTGTTGCTCTGGAGAACAGACACAGGTGGACAACCTGTCATTGTAACACAGCGCTGCCAAAACGTTGGTCTTTTGCTCCATGGCACTTGAGCTCTTGTTGGATCAAAGATTGCTGAATCGTATCGGCTGGGAAGCAGCCACCTGTCCTTTAGAAATGAGATGAGATGAGAATCACTGTGTGCAACACGATCCAGTAAAGTACGTTTTGCTTCACTGCTTGGATCAGATGGATATCAGGCTGGGAGTAACAAGATCTCTCATATGTTTAGGGTAGTTTAACTGCGCAGAACTGTAATTCACTGTTCTCTCAAAGAGCTGGGGGGCAAGGTTATTTTAAAGTTGTTTTAACTATAAGGACGGGTGTTTTAAAAAGAATCCCAGGACTTGTGTGAGCTTGCCATGCATGTGAACATCAGGTGTGCTACCCAGAAAGCATTTTAATTTGCTTTTTGCTATGCCACGTGTGCCAGGATGAGGTTGGTGATATTTGCAAAAGGTTGTCACACGGATGTCCAAAGTTAAAGAAATAAAGGATTCACTGTGCGTGAAGAAATTCACATGATTAATACTGGCACAATAAAGTCCGCTCCACCCCTACTATTGGAAACGGTTCAATATTTGATAGCAGTCGCAGGCCTCAGCCTACACTAATTCTACTCAGGTTACATGTCTCATCAGACCTCAGGGAAATCTCTGGACTGAATAACAGTGTTTGTTATTGTCATCTTTCAAGCTGGAATGAGATCATCCAGCTCATTAAAATCTAAAGTTCATGTGCAATTACACTTCTCAGTGGGATTTATGATGATATCCTGCTAGAAATGGTTTTACAGGCACAATATGGAGGTGTGACCAGAAAGTACTGAAGAACTGCTCACATGACACTCTGTGAAGAAGTCCAGGCTGTTTTTGTTGTCATGAATATGGAAAATGAGCTGCTGCCTTCCCAAATTCCCCATAACACTCTCCATGGAAAAATACGGAAGCCATTTTTTAGAGATATTTTTATAGTGCTATTTTCCAATTCATTTTTAATTTGAGAATGGACTTGTGTTAAATATGGTTTCTAATTTCATACTAAATAACCACAATTTGCTTGACTAACCTTGTAAAAGC